ATGGCTGGCTGGGGAATTCTGGGAGTTGAAGTCCACTCATCTTAAAGTGGCCAAGTTTGGACAACACTGGGTTAAGGTTTCCAGCAGGTGTTACGTATGCACCTACAGGTGCTTTGAACAACATTTTGCATTTTGAATCAGAATCGCTGCCCTGCCCATCTGCAAAAAGTTCTCCTGCTAGTGATTTCAAAAATAAGCCAAAAATGGACATTTCAGAATTAGATTGGTGCTGGCTTGCACGTGCTGGATCCAAAACTGCCATGACAGCTGCCAGATCTAGACTGTTACCTTTGCTAGCCTAGTAAGAAAATTTTCTCTTTGTTAAAGGTATAGGGAAACTAAACAAATTTTCCAACAGGGGAAAAAAGAAGAAAAAATACCCCTTCCAACCTGGCCAGCACAAGCTGAGCAGACTGTTTACAGAGCAGTAGATCACCACATCACTCTATCTCTCCAGCCTATTTAAAATGTAAATGTTAATTTTAAAAAATCAATTACATTAAGCTGCAATTCTATACCCATGTATCTGGAACTAAGTCCTATTGAACTCAATGAGACCACTTTCTAAGTTAACACGCATGGGACTGCACTTCAAACAAAAACTAAAAAAACCCCTTGATTTAAAATAAAATCTGCTTTTTATGTAAAACATGTATACACTTATGAATCGTCTATTACAATTAAGACTTTTTTTTGCTGAAGAACAGTATTAGAGAGGAGGCTAATTTATAAAAATTAACATGCATATTTAAAGTACAATCTATATATAGTTAAAACATTTTACACCCAACTGACTTCAAAGGGAGAATAATACATAATTATATGTATATAATTGTTACAGCAAAATAATTAGTATATGTCTTCCTGCTCAGAAATTATACACCAATTTGGAAACGAATTTAATTCAATTATTTAAATCAGCATATTTTTATTGGGGAGGAAATTAATTATAAACATATAAGCATATAAACAGAAGTTGAACCTGGTCTTCCTCAGTGTGGATTTTGGCTAGTTGAATTATTCTGCAGATCAAGACGAACTTCACAGATTCTCCCCTTCATCTCATACCTCTCCCCCATGATCAGCTCCAGAGGCCTCTGGGGCACAGAGAGAAAACCCCTCACTTCTTCTACCAAAAAGTTCATTGGGTGAAAGGAGTACTTCCATTTAAGAACACCAAGTCTGGATCTAATCCACTGCATTGATGTGAGATGGGTTGTGCAGGAAGGCAGGTGGACATTAAATATAATATAGCATGCATAGAGGATACCTACATGGGAAAAACTACATGTTTTACTATTGCTTCTGACCCAGCAAATAATGTGCACTGCACAGAAGTCTGCTTCTACATGTGGATTTATTGATTTGCATTAAAGTGACTCTATTTTGCACCTGGAAAGACGTTCTGCTTGCTTAAAACGTCATATTAAAAAAAACAATTCCTCAGGATCAAAATGGCTTCCTCTAGAAGTTAGCAAATGCCATTCTGAGGAAATAAGGAGATATCAAAATGTTTTAAGATATGTGCATGTATACACACACACATACTTCCTTACCCAAAACAGCACACCCCCAGTTATTTCAATATCTATTACTAGTAACTGGAAATGACAAGTGACCGATTATGAACACGAGAAGCCAAGCAAGGCAATAATCTCACTCGCTTTGACTTTTGGATACTAGATTATTTGTAATTATTTCATTTTGTCATGTTAAATATTCAAATTATACCAATAAAGAAATAAATTATCATGTAGCTAATTTCAACATTTGGCTACCTCCAAAGTTTCTCTTCATCTTTAGTCAGCAATTAGATGACTCATTAGGCATTCTACATGGGAGTAAAGGATGGGAGTCTTTAGCAGATCGCTTGCTTTATCCGGAGGGGTGCTCCATCTAGTTCAGAAGCTAACTGGGCAGAATTTTAAATCAAGTAGCCAGCTTCCACACATAGAAGAGACATCTTGTTGCAGACAGTTGTTGTTTACACTTGGAGAGCCACAAGAACAATGTGGGGGTAGAGCTCATGTGCTCATCCCTCCTACTGTCTCCAAATGTGGAGGATACACTTGCTCTGAAACACCCAGGGTTAATATCAGGCCTAGGGCTGAATGACATATTGACTGTTATCTGGGTTGCACCATTTCAGATTGCAAGTAGGGACTCCTCAAACCAGCTATCTGAAAAACTGCTGCATCTATTCAACTGTGTCTAGGGTGGGCCTTGAAGCTGAGCTATGTCATCGAACAAGGAGAGTGGAATATTGGCAAGTGACATGACATTGACTGGGCCATTAAGAGAATTTTAAGCTTTTGTTCAAGCTGCTTTTGGTTAAGCTTAACACACTGTGATTTCATCTGAGGTTTTTATAGCTTGCTTATTTATTTTGTATAGTAAAATCTCCTCTGAATCAAGCTTTACTTTTGGTGACTACAAGTCCATGTTGTTTTTGTAGTTGCCATTGCCTTCTTCCCATTTGTTTTTTTACTTTCATGCTCTGATCTATAGTTCTGGTATATCCTGATGGTCTCCCATTCAAATATTAAGCAGATCTGATCCTATTTAGTTTTTGGAGCTCAGTCTTGGTTAGTTGGGTACTGTCACTTAGATGGACTTTTACACTGTAAAGCATGCTGTAATCTGCTCTGTGACAGATTCTGTATCCTGAAAAATGGTCTAGTAATTACAGGAAACAAAAAGTAAATAGAAAAGTTAATTATTTTTTTCATTTATTCAACAAAAATTAAACAGCAAGCATCATGATCTCAGAGAAACAGACTCACTGGGTCCATCAAAGGAAAATCTTTCTCATACTTTCCGTACATTCTTCAGTATGAAACAGAGATCCTGCTCTCTGAGCTATACTCACATAGCCTGGTTTTAATGTTTATGTGTCACTGTGATGAAATTAACATATTGGGTAAGACGAACAAAATCTAGCCTCAAAATCTCTTAGTGTCAGTGTGTCTTAAGCTGCATTTTTGTTTTAGGATCACATGTACAGGAGAGGAGAAAGAAAATTATTTAGGCCATCCTGCTCCTTTGGGAAACAATGGGAAGATAGTCCCACATAAAGAGATAAATGCCATTATGAATTCCCGGCCAATGGAGGGTGATGTTTTGTTTTGAGCTGCTTGTCATGAAGTCTAAGAGCAAACAGTGAATAGTTACTTATTACACGATGTGTCATACTTTTAAATAATGGGAAAACATCGGAAGGAGTCTCCTGATCCAGCCCAACTAATTTCCCTGACCATCCTTTCCTATCTCTGATGGTTACTTTCACTGAACAACTAGGATTTAGGTTCAAGATTTCAGCTAAAAAGCTGAGCCAAATTAAAAAAAAAAAATTAAAAATTCCAGCGTACCATTCACCATCTATGCCCAAAATTTCTAGACGGAGTTGAAGAGGTTATTTATTCCCAGCTCCTTATTTGTGTGAAAACATATGTAAGCGTAAGTTTCAGTAAAAATGAATCTAATGAATTGTCCTGCGGGTCAGTAATTGGGAATAAGTAGTCCACTTTAGCATCTTGATAGTTACATCAAAGAAGAGAATTCATCTAAATAAGTCAGCTTTCATCCGACTACTTTAAAATGCTGTACGATCGGATTCCAAAAGTTGGGAGGAGGAGGAGGAGGGAAGTGTCTGCAATTGTTTCCCAACCCCGGAATTTAATAAGGAAGAATTACTTAACTTCCCGTTCATTCCTTAGCACCCCGTTTTCCTTTTGGGATGAGATGCAGGTGCTCCTACTTTTTCCCCCTGAGAGAAAAAAATAATTGTCACCCACCCTTTCCCGAAAATGCATTCCCGCCCAATACCTCTCTTTTGCGTTGCAGCACGGGAATGCAAAACGCTCTAGAACTGGACGGTCCTTGTGCCCTTCAAGCTTTCACTCTTCAGCCCTTCCGGAAATGGAACCGAAAGTCTGAGACTACAAATCCCAAGATACACCGCAAGATTAAAAAAAAAAGACCTACGGCTAAGTCGAGGTCTCGATGCATCCTGGCAGTTGTAGTTCAGGCGAAGCGGAAATGCAGAAAAAAACGTCCTCTTTCATACGGAGCGGCGTATCGGCTATTGCAATTAACCGGAAAAACCACAAGGGGGAGAACATTTAATTTGAATGGAGGCGTGAATTTAGGATTAGTCCCAAACGTTCCCTATTGTTAATCACAGATGCCTTTTATTAATCTGACAGTATTTCCCACTACTATGGAATAGATTAATGATTCATTAAAAGACACGCATATGTTCTTATGTATATTAAAGACCTCGGTTTAAGTGGAGCAGCACCTCAAGCAGAGAAGGGCAAGTAAACAGAAACAGATGTGCCAGATTGGAGGGATTTGACCCATGAGTTATCTGTCCCCGTTAAAATCTTTTTGAAATATTTATCGGTGTTTACTTCGTCAGATCCAGTAGGTTATTGCTTGGAAAAGGCCATAATTTTTGAAATTAACGCATTTCAATTGAATTATGCAAGCAGGTGTTTTAAATATTCAAAAATAGAAATTAATACTTGCCCTTATGTAATGAAAATGTTTAATACTTTATTAGTCTTTCTTTTGTCTATTTTGTTGAACTCCTTGACTAGATGCGCATACTGGACTGAGCTATGATTTATTTAACCAAGGTTTACAGAAAAACCATGATGGACTGGAGTCACACAATAAGCAGTAAGATTTATACATTCTAACACATGAGGACAAACAGGACATCAAGTCCAAATCAAATAATAGTTTACGGGGTAAGAAGATGTCTTTCTCTGAAAAACAGAACACCCACATTAGGCTAAAATGTGTTTGGCTAGCTTGCATAAACCCAGCCAGGGTGGTTAGTTGATGATTCAGTATGGTGAATCCAACCACTGGGTAATTCAGTATACCATGGAAACCCAGTGACACAAGTATAATATATACTGATCTGGGAATAAGCCCCCTACTACAGTATACATTTACATTTGAGTAAATATTATGAAAAACAGGGTGAGACATTTCAAGTAGCCTCGCAAGGTCCTACAAACCGAACGGCTAACACAATTTACATAACACGCTGAACTAGAAACCACGGTTAATAAATCTCCAGTGCTTATCCCAAAACCAATAAAACTCCATGATGTACTAGCCTGTATTCGTTATGTATGAATCAGGCCTTCGTATCAAGTTATAATAGGACTGGTTTGTTTTGGCATGTTGTAGGAACACAGCCACGGTTATTCAGAGTTTAACGCAGGAGCGGGCTCTCTTTCTGTAGCCAAGGCATCCTTAGTATTTTTGGGGTGCTAGCTAACAATAAACCCCTCAAGTTTTTCTATTGAAAACAGTATTTTTCAGCATATTAAGTAAGACATTATTTTGAGCCACAACACCCTTGCCTAAGATAGATAGATAGATAACTCTTGCATATTATCTTCTCCTAAGTCATACTTCAGCCCCGACACGCGATTCTACGCAGTTTGAACAGCCATTTTTTTGGTACGTCTGAAAGAACACACAGTACACGCGACCTGCTTTCCCCTGACGTATCAGAAAGATTCGAAGGCTGGAAAATACCGTATAAAGGCTATTGGCTGTCTCCCGTCACGTGATATGGATGAGCCAATCCACGCTTCCGGATGTCTCCTTTTCAAATTTTTTTAAATCACATCTCAAGGTGCGGCGCACGCTTTTGAATGAGGTAAGCCGCGGTTGCAGAGCGGTGTGGACTCTTAAAGCCTCTGCTCGGAGATTTGGGAATCGCCCGCCAATTTAGTATTGGGCTGCTGCTAGGAAGCATCAGGAGAGGCAGAGTTTTTTTTCTGTTGCAACGGAATTTCCTAGTTATTTTGGAAAACTTAATGTGGTAGAAGTAGTAGGGCTGATAGGCGATCATGGAGAAAGCGCGATCTCGCTAGCTGCGTGAGTCTGATCCCTTCTGCTCCTCCGAAAGTAAAACAGAGGAATAAGTTATTGACTACGAAAGCACCTTAAATTTTAAACGTTGTGACTGCTATCTATGCTAAGAAAGAAGGGCGTTGTAAACACTGTTCCATTATTGAAATTGGCTGTATTGTGTATGCGTGTGCGGGCATGCATATATACCTTTTCTTCGTCTTTGTCTTGAAACCTTGTTCTAAAAGCCACTTGGATCTTTTCCTGTTTGAAATCTTGGAAATAATTTTTTTCTGCTTCAGTTCCCACAATGGGCACAGCAAGAGGGCCTTGTTAAAGTGCCATCCATCTGTCCCTGAGCTAGTAGAAATGTATGCTGCCATAAAATTGGCAGCCCCAATTCCTGAGCCCTATCTTGCCACCGTAATGCAGTCATCATGGCAGTAATACTTTTTGGAAAAAAACATCTAATTCTTTGAAAAGAACATTAAGGAAAGAAAAACAGGTCAAGGTGTCTCTCGAGGGATTCAGGCATTAAGTGAGCAGGTGTTTCTGTGGAAATCAGGTGCCTTACAGTCTCGCTCTTGTGGCCCAAACCAGAATGGCTGTGGAGGGGAGCACTGCCACAGGGCAGTTGCCAGAGATTAGAGGAGAGGGGGCATGCCTGCAGCAGGCTAACATGACCAATGGGAGATGGGCAGATTCAACTCTTGCCATCCATGCTGTCATGAAACATGCTGGAACGTATCTTCTGCAAAACTTGTGCTGGGACAAAGAGGAAAGTACCCTTAAGGATGACTTGAAGCTGCCTCCACGGTGGACTGGAAGTGAGACAAAGGCATTAGGAAAACATGGCATTAAAAAAAAATGCTTGTGCTGTGGTTGGAGGACATAAGGAGCTCAGTGTGTCTTATCTCTTCCCATAGCCCCTCAGATGCCCTTTCACATAAGTCTATTGAATCTGTTTACGTTGATATTTTATTCTGCCTGCATGTATTCCATGTTGAAACTTGTTAGCATATCTACTCTCTTTAATTTTCTATTTTTAACCTAATATGTATTAGACGGCAAGAATTCATGGTCAGTTCTACAGTTTGTACCTGGAAGTATCCTGACTGCCTGGATACACTTCACCTTTTGTTTCCTATGATATAATCAATCTGAAACTATTGTGCTTCCAGTAATGGCCATGTGAAGAGTCTGCATTTATGTCCCTTGAATTACGTGTTGGCAATAAACTGAGAATTCTCTTCATACAACTCTATTGACCTATGTTCTGCATTATTGCATTTACTTGGTCCAAATGTTCCTGTATGGTAATTTCACATTCCTCCATTTCTCCAACTATTGCGTTCTAGTTGCCCATTAATAGTACTATTTCCAGTCTTGATGTGGCACTTCACACTTCATCAAGTTGCCATTGAATGGGCAGTGTCTTCCATACTGCATCTGTAATAATTGCAAAATACCTATGTGACACTGATGTTCACTAAATAGCCACTACTTCTAATAGGTACATTCCCATCATGTATTAAGTTAATAATGTTTTTTGAGAATATTCTTTTGTATGGCCTGATCCTGAAAAATATAACTTGTAATCATAAAATGGTCATTCTAAGTCACCTAATTTCCCCTACTCGTAAACCTTACAATTCAGTATGTAAAGTATTGTCAGTTATACTTTGACAATTTTAAGTTTACTTATAGACCTAAGTTTAATTTTAGTTTAGTTTAGAGGCATGCTTGAAATGGAGAATGTGTTTTGTTCTGTGCATGGATCATCTCGGTTGTTCCAAGTTTCAGCCAAGGCAAATTTCAGACTGGTTTTATGAGGTGAGTGGGGCAAAGCTGATATACCTTACTCTTCTGTATTCTCCTCTTTCATGTGGCCTGTGCATCAGTCCAACTATACACCACCTTTCTTACCCATGACTGCACTTGAATTCAAGCATGGCATACTGTCTACTTCCCCCAACTCTTCCCTTGATCTTCGTTTCCTTTTAGTTTGCTTAGCCACCACTGTGTGCTACTGCCAATGGCTTTCCCACTCTCTTACCATCTTCCACCCTGGAATATCTGTGCCTGGCACAGGTGTGCCCTGGGTCTGCTCAGAGCACCTAAACCTGGCTATTTCATGCACATCTTATGTCTTCCCAGTCCAATTCTGTCCTTGTAGTATCATGCCTGAGTCAACCTGTACAATCAATTTGCTTTTAATAGCTACTTTACTAATCTTTTGATAGGGCTTTTATGATTTCTGAGTCATGGAAATTTTAATGGAAATTTTAAGCAGATATTTAAACTTCCCTTGAAATGTTTTGTAAAAAATTAACATAGAAGTTGTGTTCAGGATGGTATATTTGAGCTACTTGTATTCTATTCTACTATTCTCATATGGAAATGAGTGGTAACTTAACCTGGTAACAGATTGCTTTCTAAAAATGCACAAAGAACAGTCAACGAATAAAGTATTTATGGTCATGGAGTTGATTTGTGCAAGGAGGAGAGGGACCAGGTATAAATGCAAGGGACAGAAAGAAATGAAAGATTAGAACACACTCCTGAAATACTAGAGACCTGACTGGTTTCTCGTCCTGAAACCTATCCTCTGTTGCCTAAAACTCAAATCATGGCAGTAAGCTGTGAAAAAGCTTTCATTTGGCAATATTTCAGTGAAATTCTTATGTATGAGTCTAAGACAGGCTAAAACACACAAAATGGTGCACCAAAGAAATGTAAGGCCTGGTTACCTGAATGAAGCATCATTATAAGAGTTGGTCCTGCTTTGAAGATACTGAAGGGGACATGTTAATAACTATTTTTGTGTCATCATATTCTTTGTTTCTTATGGGCTGCCTGTTTTCTTTGGTGAAAACTTTGGGCTTTTTAAGTTAGTACTGGAATTCTCCCGTTTGAACAAAAATACTGTTGCTATTACATTATGGTAGTTTAATACAGTTAACAGATGGATGTTTCTTTTACTATTTATTGATTGAATAGCTTACTTAACTCCTAAACAACTGTAGCGTACTGCTAAACTTTTATCAGTAACTGTACTAAATAATATTAAATGAGCAGTCTCTCTCCCTCCCTCTCTCTCTCATTGCACGATGGGTTTAATTTGCTTAGGTGGATTCACACTCAAAATACAAGATTCTGTCCATGTTTATTATCATCAGTGTCTTTTATTTCAGGGTTGTATCATAGTGTTTCAGCTACACTGTGTATATCAGAAAGAGAGTATATTTCTCATAACCTCAAAAAGAGTCTCCTTAATGTAGAAATATGTGGAGAAAACTTAATAATAAAAAGCAGCAAATAACACCAGGAAGTAATTTCGGGGGGGGGGGGAATTGCCCAATTTCTTTATGTAACATGTTTCTATGTTGAGAATATATACTTCATCAACACAGTGGTTGTTGAGCCAGACTTAGATTGGACAATACCGTAGAGCAATCTGGCAGAGCAATTGTTGGATAAAGCATATAAGGAAGAAATTGAGAATTGTGCAGATGTTCTAGAGGGGGAAATTGTTATCTTGTGTCTTGATGGGTAGCACATATCCACAGTGTTTCCATCATATGTCCTTATGTATTAACAGAAGAAGGGAGTGGCTTTCTTCCTGAGGAACTGTCTTGTCCCGGTTATATCAGCCTGTCCCACCCATCCAGCAGGAAGGGCATGTTACAGACCCCGTCAGCTAAAGAATTTCAACTGGTGGGGTCTGGGAGGAGAGCCTTTTTTGCCATTGCCCCTGCCCTGTGTAATATCTTGCCCCCTGAGGTGAGATTGGCCCCCACTCTTCTGGCCTTCCAGAAGAGCATTAAGACCTGGCTCTGCCGACTAGCTTGGGGATCCAGTGGGGGTTCACGGTACTGGGGGTGGTTGGTGACTTGAGGATGTCCTCTCCGTCTTGTAACTTTGCTTCTGTAAGTTTTTCACTGTTTTTATGGCTTTTATTTGTGAGCCGCCTAGAGTCACTTACATAGTGAGATGGGGGGTGTATAGATTTGATATATAAATAAATAAATAAATAAAATTGATAAATCAGGAAATGCACTTGTTGTTAAATATGTCCAAGGAGTAGTAGTAAACATTAAATGTCTGGGATGCAGCTTTCTCATTTATAATGCTGCAAGTCTATTCAGGATAATAAACTGAAAAGAAATGATGAAGTCCATAGTATACAGTTGCAGTGTTCATTTAGTGAACTTTCTTGCTGAAAACTTTACTGCTCCACAAAAAAAGACTGATGTTGTAAACATTGCCAAGTACTTTTGCAATAACTACTTTGTAGTAGCTACTCCAAAGGGGGGAAAAAAGGACTTTATTAACTTTCCCACATGAAACACATTTATGGATTCTTGGAGCACTATATCAAGAACTCCAATATCAGTTTATGGAAAAATCATGAAGGTATAGATGGAATTCAATTTACTGGAGATAAAGGGAGACAAGAAACATTTGCTTACTTTCCTCAAGTCTATTCTTGGGGCCATGAATAAAGAGCAGTGAAATAATTATTTCCGATGCTGTTGAAGCTTGGACAGAACTGAGTGTCACCTTGAAAAAAAGAAACAGGCAATGACAGAGTTACATTACAGGTACTAAAAAATGGAGTGAGTCATGCTCATTTTCTTACCACTATTCTTAGGGCTTAATATCAGGTTTAATTCTTAGCTACTGACGTAGCTGGAATTACCTGCTTTTTGATTTTTAAAAATGTTTTAAAACAGTTAATTTAGAAATGCATATTTTACTACATCTATGTTGATTGTTTGTTGTGGAAGGCTGGCCAGAAAAAATAAGATAATGTGATTTTAAATCAAATCCACCTAGCTTTATTCATTGGATACCTGAATGTGTTTCAATAGATATTCCCAAGGTATTTCATATAAATTTATCTGCATGGGCTCACATGCAGGCGTCTATAAATGAACATACATGTGCATATAATTTCAGGGCAGCGTGATGGCTAAGGTGCTGGACTAGGAAGACTCCTCCCTCAGGTATGGTCGCTCACTAGATGACTTTCAGCCAGTCACCTTCTCTGCCCAACCTACCTCCCAGGGTTGATGTAGGGAAAAATAGGAGGGGATGCTAGGTGTGCTGCGTTGAGCTCCTGAAAGATGGCAGGCTATAAAACAAAATTACACATGCAGTGCTAAATACCTCATGTAGCTACTGGTTCAGCTTATGAAGATGCACCCCCTTCTTGATTATTGAAGTACTTTACATCTGTTGAACTGGACTTTTTAAAAAATTGGCAAAAAAAAAATTATCTATTGCCGTGACCAGAAAATCTTAGTATCTTGGGGCACTTTGGTCAGGAGCGTTCCAGCCTATCTTGAAGGGTGTCAGGAGAGTCAATGCAAATGGTGGCTTTGATGTCTTCCATTAAGCTGTCAATGGGAGGGGATATTTGTGACTGTTTAGAGGCAAGCTACAAGTAGCTGGCTAAACTTCCATTTTGTGAAAGAGGATCTTTTGGAAAAAGTCTCACTTAAAGCTGTGCAGTATTGTATCTGAGAGACCAAACCCTAAATTTGAAAAGATCTTTTGCCCACTCTTCCAATTTTACTTTATTTATTTCAGCCTCAGTCCGACATGTAGAGTATGAGAAAAATTCTTCTCATCTTGCTGGAAATTAACACGGTTACAAGAAGCTAATGGATGCAAAGCAGATTTTGCACTCCAAATTCATGCAGAATATTATTTAAGGAAATCTGCAAATGGAGAAGAAATCAGGAAAGAATAAAAACAAAATATGCGCTCAAAAAGGGAGAGGAAGAGACTCCTTCATCGGAATTGGAGAACAATTATTTTACAGAAGAAATTCAGTTTGCTAAAATCTTTGCAGGAATAATTCAGTCAAACACTAGAGGTTGCTGTTGTGTTACGAGGACAACTAAAATGGGAAGGTTTTCTTATATAGTAATTAGAGGTCAAACTATACAACACTGAAAAGGGGAGGCTGGATACAGATAATCAAATCTCAGATTAATAAACTGAGGAATGCAAAAATGTCACATTCTTATAGGTAGCCTCTTTGCTATCCTTTTCCCATGAAACAGACCAAGAAGGATCCATTCCATAAGGACTGGAACTAACTTTTATTGTTTCTAAACAAAATGGGATTCAGGAGCTTAAACAGTGACTTCATATTCTGGATGGTTTAGAATGTATAACCATGGTTTCCTGGTTTAGAGAAAATGCAGGCCTTGGGTAATTGAAGCAAGCCAAAGGAAGCAGGAAGCACTTCCATGTGCTTACAGAAGATTAGTGCATATCTTGATTTTATTTATTTATTTATTTATTTATTTATCTGTCATATTTATATAGCTGCCTATCTCACAAGCAAGTGACTCTGGGTGGCGTACAACAGAGTTAAAAACAATATATGCATATTAATATAAAAAAGCTCAAAATTGTAAAAAGCACAAAACTAAAACAGAATAAAAAAGATTGGGTGAAGAGTAGGTGTTAATTACACAGGAGCCATCTCAATATTTCTCCAGTCCCTTGGGTCCCCAGGCCTGCTGACACAACCAAGTCTTGAGGGACCTCTGGAAAATTAAAAGGGATGAGGTCAACCTTACTTAGGTGGGAAGGATGTTCCATAAAGCAGGGGCCACAGCAGAGAAGGCCCACTGCCTAGGACCCACCAAATGAAGCTCCCTAGCTGACATGACCCACAGTGTGCCCTCTCTGCTGGATCTGGTGGGATGGATAGATGTAATCAGGGAGAGGCGGTCCCTCAAATAACCTGGTCCCATGCCATATAGGGCTTTAAAGGTTAAAACCAGCACCTTGAATTGGACTTGGAAACAGATTGGTAACGTGTATTGTGCTAGAGATGTATATACAGTGGGGCAAAAAAATATTTAGTCAGCCACCAATTGTGTAAGTTCTCCCACTTAAAAAGATGAGAGAGGCCTGTAATTTTCATCATAGGTATACCTCAACTATGAGAGACAAAATGAGAAAAAAAATCCAGAAAATCACATTGTCTGATTTTTAAAGAATTTATTTGCAAATCATGGTGGAAAAAACGGTGAGCAAAAATCCCAGAACCACACGGGGGGACCTAGTGAATGAACGGTGAGCAAAAATCCCAGAACCACACGGGGGGACCTAGTGAATGAACGGTGAGCAAAAATCCCAGAACCACACGGGGGGACCTAGTGAATGAACGGTGAGCAAAAATCCCAGAACCACACGGGGGGACCTAGTGAATGAACGGTGAGCAAAAATCCCAGAACCACACGGGGGGACCTAGTGAATGAACGGTGAGCAAAAATCCCAGAACCACACGGGGGGACCTAGTGAATGAACGGTGAGCAAAAATCCCAGAACCACACGGGGGGACCTAGTGAATGAACGGTGAGCAAAAATCCCAGAACCACACGGGGGGACCTAGTGAATGAACGGTGAGCAAAAATCCCAGAACCACACGGGGGGACCTAGTGAATGAACGGTGAGCAAAAATCCCAGAACCACACGGGGGGACCTAGTGAATGAACGGTGAGCAAAAATCCCAGAACCACACGGGGGGACCTAGTGAATGAACGGTGAGCAAAAATCCCAGAACCACACGGGGGGACCTAGTGAATGGACAATGTGATTTTCTGGATTTTTTTTCCCATTTGTCTCTCATAGTTGAGGTATACCTATAATGAAAATTACAGGCCTCTCTCATCTTTTTAAGTGGGAGAACTTGCACAACTGGTGGCTGACTAAATACTTTTTTGCCCCACTGTAACTGCCCATGCTGCTGCATTCTGCACCAGCTGAAGCTTCCAGATAATCTTCAAGGGGAGCCCCATGGAGAACGCATTACAGTAGTCCAACCGGGAGGTTACTAGGACATGAGTGACTGTGAGTAGAGCCCCCCGATCTAGGAACGGGTGCAACTGACACACAATATGAAGTTGTTAAAGTGAAAGTTTGGTCAATGGAATGTAGCCAACTTTAATCCCACCAAATGCTACTTTTTGTGTGCCCTTTGTTATATTTAATTATTCATCCAATGATAATGTTATGTACATTGTAGAGATGCCACTAAGGATGAGCTTGCCCATTGACTTGTGTTCTACACAGAGTTTCTGTTAAAAAGAAAGTATAGGAGAAAAGAAGTGATTTACAAATAAGTAATAAGTAGAATCGGTAATAAAATGTGAAGTGTGAAGTGCTCCTGTTTAAGCTGTACTCTTCCGAGATATATTATTTCCTCTGTCCCTAATTTTTCTTTTCTTTTTGACTTAAATTGTATTTTCTTTTTTTATTTTCCACCTATAAAAATCCTTTATATTTCCTTAACGCCAGGAATTCTTCAGACCTGGGATCCCTGTTTCACTTATGTAAGGAACCACACTTGGAAAATAAATTTGCTGTTTATAGCGTATTTAATATATAAACATATCTGGAGGGCACCAGATGAATGCTGATGAGTCACGTTATCTCAAATGTATCCGAACAATTCAACTTGAAAACCTGACAATGATCTGTCCAATTCAACCTATATGTTGTTTTATAGCTGTCAGATGGAAAATTATATTGTGTCTTGAAGTATGGATGCAATGTTTTTCCTGTCCCTAAATAAAGATAAAAATTCTACATGTGGGGAAAATAGTCTGGATCTCAGTGAGGTGGTCAACCTTTATCTGCACTGTAGAGCTGAATGCTTGCACATGTGAATTCTTAGGAACTGAATGCTTCTCTGTGAAGAGAAAATGAGTGCATGTATAGAAAACAAGCATCCAGGAGAAAAGGTTATTGCGGCCTCACCTTTTCTAGTTTTCTATATGCAGAGGTTTGCATTATTTAATTTATTTTGGTCTAGGTTTTTATCTACCCAAAGCCCTCCTGCGTTAATCCTACTCAGACAAACCACTTGTGCTGATCTGCTCCTGACCTTGAGCCTGTCCTCACAGCATCGTTGTGTGCCGCGGGAACATCTATTTTGTATGGTATGTCTGTTGGTGCCTAGGTTGAGGGTTGGTCATTGTGACTCTGTTCGTGGGTTAGGAGAATGAATTAGTACTTTGCTGGAGCTTAGCTCTTTTGACATAGTACAGAAAATTAAGCCCTTAGGTGACAGCGTTCTGCCTGGTTCTCCTTAACGGTTGAAGGCAGAAGGAGGAAGAAATTTGTGCCATATTACTTTATGTCTGTAATTCAAAGGAATTCCTGCTGTCTCTTGGGCAAAAGGGCTTAACTGCCAGTGTGGTATAAAATTCATAATTCTGCTAACACTGGGATCTTCGTCATGGCATCCAGGGTACCAATGTACCTGGAGAAACCCTTTCTTGGTGCCCACCAGACTCCCTGCCCAATCTGACTTTTTGCATTAAATTAAGAAGCTAGTTTGTTTCCTATCAGAGCAAAATGTCAGCCTCCTTTATTTCCAAGAATGTTTCTGGACCCGAAATGAGCCCTATAAACTTTTGTAGAAAAGGAAAAGGAGGGGTTGCTGCATTCAGTATCCTCAGGAAAAGAAAGAGAAGCAGGGATCATCCTTCAATATTTCAGGATAGCAGTTAACATTCTGTAAATTAGTGCTTTGTAACTGCTTTATATCCCCTAAGATAGCCATTGCATGAATGGGCAAGTCCCCAGTAGCTTTTTGTGAGGGTTACATCTCCTAGCCTAAAAATTGGAGGCCTCTGTAATAAGTTTTTGCTGTAGCAAAAAGCAAAGTGATGTTGCATGACCTCATGAAGTTTGATTTAGGTAATTTTTCCCATTTTCTGTGACAAAGTATTCCTGAATCCTGGTTGGCAAGAAATTCTCAAGTATTCAGGCATCTTAATTCTCCAGCTTGGCAATTAACAATCTTGTGCTTTTTCTTTTAACAGTTCCTTTTTTTTTTTTTTTTTAAGTGACTTCTACAGGGTCATCCAGCTGCTGTTAGAATCTGAACTGAAAAGTCTCCAGTTTTTGTCCTGCTGGCAGGTAAGAATTGAAGGAGGAAATGTTTAATTCTGCTAGACAAACTGACAAACGCCATACGTGCTGGTAAATATGGTTGTGCAGAAACCGCCATTAGGTCAAAATGAGAAAGACACATACACAACAAGACTTAGAATGAAGAAATAATTTGAAGAACCTATATAAGGTACAGGGTGAAGTAAAAACTGATAAATGTTCCAGAAGGTTGTAGTACGCAGGTGTAATGGAATGCAGGAATGCATTAAGGTTTACCAAACTCTTTGTTTGGTGTGCGTTCCTACTTTGGAGTGGCCCCTGCTTAGCTGACCACAATAAACTCCTCTTTTTGGAAACTGCCTGGCTTGGAGTGCTTTCTTCGGAGGAATCCGAACCAAAGTTTTCATGCCACAGAATGTTTTCATGTACTTTGTGGATCTATAACCAGATTTGTGATACTTATTGACATACTTATGTACAGGTAGTCCTCACTTAATGACCATTTATTTAGTGACCATTTGTTTAGTGACTGTTCGAAGTTACGGCAGAGCTAAAAACTTACGACAGGTCCTCATGCTTATGACTGTCTCAGTGTGCCCTGTGGTCACGTGATCGTGATCTGGGTGGTTGGCAACCAGTTTGGGCTTACGACAGTTGCAGTATCACATAATTGCCATTTGCGACCTTCCCAGCCGGCTTCTGGCAAGCAAAATCAATGGGGAAACAACATAATCCACTTAACAACCGTTGTGATTTGCTTAACGACCACTGCAAAAATGTTGTAAAATCAGGTGCGATCATGTGATGCCTCACTTAATGACCACCCCATTTAACAATGAATTTTCCGGTTCCTATTGTGGTTGTTAAGTGAGGACTACCTGTACATTTAGTTCTTCATAACATTTGAAACATGTTAAGAGAAGACAGTGTTGCAAAAGATTTCTGAATCCTGTCTGTTGCCTCTGCAGTTCATTCCCCCTACGCCCTGCGATCTTTGTCCTTGGTCAGAAAACATGGCATAGTAAATTATGACTTGGTTCGATTACCACTGAAAATGACTCATGGCTGGAAGAATAGAGTCCAGAATTTGCTCTCCTACAAAGTAAGAGGTGTATAGGAGAATTAGGCCTGTGATTCAGACAGCTTTAGGAATAAATCTTCTATTTGAAAGCACTTTAAGCACAGGTACCCTTTGCTTTAAAATAGGTTATGATTTAAAGTTCCACAGTCATGTTTTAAATTATGAACCTGCTGTTCCTGCTCTTTGATCCAAATCTTTGTATCAGATCTTAGTAATCATTTTATAGTCCTAGATTTAGCTCTTGCTCCTGGAGGCCTACATGCAATTGCTTCAAAGTCTATCTAGACCTGTGAATAATTCTGCCTAAATCTTTGGTAGGACACCATTTATAAAGGTGTTCTTTGCATGGTCATTCCATTTCAGGTTGTACCTTTCCATTGTGCAGGGGAAAAAAATTCAAACATATTTGTGTGTATGTACACAGACCCAGAGTGTTAGTTTCTATAGGGGGAGGTGTCCTTTTTTTTTTTTTTTTTTAAGTCTAAATTCTGCCACAGTAGTTCGTCACTGTTGGGTCCCCTTTTGGCTCTTTCCTTTGCTCTTTATTCCAGAGTTTATCTCCACAAGCTTTTATCCTGTCCTGTTTGGTTTTGAATTCTGGAAACATTTGCTTTTAATTACACAGTCCTCACCCTTCCGTCAGACAGTTAAGCAATGAATGCAAAGATAAGTAATAAAGAATCTGCTGTATTTTTCCCAGGAATTGAGGAATGTAGAAAGCATTTTGGTTTCTCTGATGAATGGCCTGTGTGTGTGTGTGTGTGTGTTTTCCTCCCCTGGTCTTAAGCATGATTCTGGGCAGTGTCTGGGGACCTCCAAGGAAAGATAAAAAAATTATGCAGTAGATGGTACAGGATAGAGTATTTGAATCTAGCATTGGTTTCTCTGTCAGCAGGGGGAAAAGGGCCTCACTGTAATACTGTGCATTAAAATAAAGACTTCCTTGAGTCAAATTTGACTCCTGCTAATTGCCTTGATACGTCCATGTAATTCTCTTGGCAGTAATATGGAGGAAATGGACTATTGCCTTTTTCTCAGATGTTTTTTCAACATTTTGGTCTAGCCCGGGCAGGTGAGTTAAGCGGACAGGGGAGAACTGTAACAGTCACATGACACCTATATTGTGGGTGTTGCGTTGCTTGAAGAGAAGGTGGCATTAGGTGTGTCAGATGTACCTGTAAGTTCTATGAGGTAGTCCAGACAAGAAGCACAACCAGGAGTACTAGCTCTATCTTAATTGCAAGGTTACATTAAGAGAATCTTGCAAGTCTAAAAGTCTTTCTCCCTTCCTCTCCTTTTACTCTCTAGAAAACTAGGGAGAGTCCCTTACTCTTTCTGTGGGCTGAGACATCTTTTACATGCCGGTTATCCAATCTGCAGCTCTCCCTCCTGTCTTCCAAGGTCATTCCCACATACCATTACAGGACTTCACTATCAAGTCAGCTG